TGTTTCTCTGACTGTGACTAACTGGATGTGCTCTCTTCATCCTCTGACATGGGAGCTGGCTCGGAGCTCGTCTGCCCGGCTGTGTGTTTCCTGGACGGGGCCGCCTTTTACAGTTGCTTTTTGTATCTATGCTTCTGTCTCTTTCAACCACAGTCGGCTTCGGTAGATGGTTGTTTAGTGTGAGGGATTGCCTTCGAGTCAATGATTCGATGCAATCAACTGGTTTTCCTTAGATAAAAAACTTTCAATCAATGATCTGGTGAACTGTAAAGTGCGTTGAGGTGTTGTGAATTGGCGCTATAGAAATAAACTAAATTTAATTGGATGCTGAAATAAACACAAATCTGTCTTTCCCCCTTCCTATTTATTCAGAGCATAACTAAAAATCAATAAATAAGATAAATCTTAGAGTATTTTTTTCATCTGATTAGCCCAATCTTGTCTTTTTCCATCATTCTCTGTGAATTTGTTCGTGTTTGTTTGTCTTTAACTCTATATTCCTACCGGAAAGCCCATGTCAGTCAGCTGTTTAATGAGGCGGTTCATGATCCAAGTCTCATCTTGCTTGCTGCCGATTTTCCCCTGTGAAACAGCAGAGAAATAGCCGTCAATCCGTTTCCACCATCGTTAAGACATACAGAGTAAACAAAGGCATGTTTTTGAGGTTGTTCTCTGACCTTGCTTGGACACTTTTTGAGTCCGTTGCCCCAGGAGTTACAGGAGGAGCTGCTGTCCTGTGACGCTGGACTGTTCCATACGTCCCCATCTTCAGTGTCCCACTGGCTGGTAGACATGCTCATTTCCTCTCCATTTCCCCAGCCATCTTGCATAGGTTTGGGGCCTAATAATTTATAGCACATATAAAGAAGTTATAGTAACAAAGGACATGTTTTTTTTTCCCTATTTTTTAACAGTTCTAATATTAAAGAAACAAATTCTATCAGCAGGAGGAACAGTGGGCAGTTCTTGACCTGATCACTAGGTGGCACTGTTGCTCTTTCCAACATTCCCAGAAACCCCCTTTCCAATCATTTCAAACAGTTCAAACCCACAGTAAAAACAACCACAACCTACTGGTGCGTGGAATTGCTTTAATCTTAGCAAGCATTCCACTCTAGGAACAACAACAGACGCCTTCTGACTGAAATGTAAACTCCCTGAGGTAAATAAAGCACATGCAGACAGACACCGTGTCATCTTGGCGGCTGCATTTCCACTTATTGCCCAGGTAACATATGCATCCATGTTGGAATATATAACTAAAGCCGGAAACAAAAGTTTGGTGCATATAGGTTACCTGACTTGCAAGGTGCAGGACCTGTGGGTCCATTCGACCGGACATACGGGCCAGATGGCTCATGGCCACCGTCTCCCCATCCTCCAAGCCCACCTGGGGGTTTACCCCAAGCAGATGTACCATTGTCAACAGCTGAAGTCGGAGCTGCTGGCTCTCCCCATGCTTGCTCCGACTTGGGCTGGACACTGGGGAGCTCTCCCCAACCTGGGAGAGAAAAAAATTAAATGAGAAAAGTAGAAGAAAAGTAAAAATACAAACAAAAAAAACAGTGATCAGACATGTTGCATCATTACATTTTGATACTAAAGTAAATAATTCACTTTTACCCTTTTCCCACTGGTTGAAAAAGCAGTTTAAACCTGGGAACAATCAGCTTTTAGTGGCAGTGGGAACAGCTTACTGACGTGTGTCTACCCAGGTGTAGTGGGGAAAATTATTATGTCTACAAACACCCATCACTCAGGCAATGTGTGGCCTTGCAGGTGACTGATGGAAAACTTTTATAGTGAGTAAACAATGAAATCAGTACACGAAAGATGAGAAATCAAAATTTTCCGACAACACCGGGTCTAACGACTCGGCAAACGACCCGCATTGAAATCTCCTGGGCCCTGATCGGCATGTTGTGGGAACACCACAGCCAGGCTGACCCACTAATTACGTGATACTATCGGGCGCAACATACGGACGTCAACACGTTGTGCCAGTCGCTTCTGATCTAACAAGCAGAAACAACTCTGTTTAAATTGGATAAACATGGAGCAGCTTTGGTGGAAGGGATTCAGACAGATATTAGAGAGAAACAATAAAGAACACGGACTACGCCCTGGCTTCTTTCCATGCTGCTCTCCATTGTTTACTTTCCGAATTTCTGTCGCACTGGTTACATAATCAATGCTAACCCACTGTGATGATGTCACCAGATACGCAGCTGCCAGCGAGGGGTTAGACCAGCGTATTTAGCCAGTGGTAGGGGGAGCCGAATGCCGATTGTGAGCGGGTCGATCCATATTTAAAAAACATGCACTAACCTGGTATTTTCAGTGGAAAAGAGGCTTTATTGTTTGCAATACTTTACTTATTGTAAATAAAACCAACACCCTGCAGTACTAAACTAACAGGGGTATGAAAGCATTTGAAATCAAATCTCTGTCTACTTTGTCTTTTCATTGCACACATTTATTGGAAATGGTTACCTAACTAAGAAATCACCTTTCTAATTATAGATATCTGATGTCAGATATCTGCCTCATCCACACATCGAAAATTTTGCCTCAAAGATGACATTTAAATTTGGGATAATCACATGTTAAGAAACAATCAAATGGTGAATACCCATATCAATCTCATGAAAATAAAAGTTGATGGGTTTTTCTTAAGTTTATCAGTTTCTAGGATCGTCTAAATGGCGGTTTTGAACTGTCAGGGGTTTTGCTTACCTGGATTGGCGAGTGGTGGTCTACCCTGCGGCCCCCCAGCTGGATGCGAGGCAGCGCCATTTGGTGACCCATTGTTGTTTCCTTGGTGCAGCATGCGACTTGGGGGTTGGCCGTTGAGGGAATGGTGGTGCATGTGGTGAGAATGATTGTTGTTATTATTGATCATAGTTATTGCACCGTTCTTGCTGGGCGGTGGGCCGCTGTGGTTGGGGTTATTGTTGGGATTGTTGCGATCCCACATGTTGACTGTCTTGCTATAGGTGTTGGGATCGCCCCAGGTTGACGTTCCGTCGTCGATCTCCATCTTCCGGCGGACGGAGGGAGGAGAGGGCTCTTCCCAACCGGTGGGCTCCATGCCCGGCTCCGGTTTGCCAGCGTTTCCCCAGCCAGAATTGGTTTGTTTCACAGAGCCAGGACCACCCCAGGAACCAATGCTGATACATCCTCCACTGCCAGTACTGCTGCCACTGCTGCTGCTTTCCTGGGGCTTGGAGGAGCTCCAGCTTCCCTGCACTGGGCCACTGGAACGTTGGCTCTCTCCCCAGTTACCGCTGCTCACAGGAGGAGTGGATTTCCCCCAGTTCCCGCCTCCTCTGTTTTCTCCTCTTGGGCTTTCATTCCATCCGCTGGTTTCCCTATTTCCTTCTTCTCCGTCCCACATGTTGCAGGAGGAACCATTTTTCTTGATGTCTGGCGCTCCCCAGTCCCCATTGGATCCCCCATTATTGTTGCCCCAGCCATGGGGGGTTTTGGGGCCTTCTCCCCAGTTGCTTGACTTGTTCTTCATCATACCATCGTCCCAGTTAGAGGACTTATCCGAACCCCAGGATGATGTGACCTCATTTCTTGAACCACCGGCGGGTGGAGGGTCTCCCCAGCCACAGGCTGAGCCGTTTGGGGCTTTGGCTACAGAAGGTTGAGGTTCCCCCCAACCTGATCCGGTTTGGATTGGCTGCGGTGGAGGAGCCCCCCAACCAGAGGAGGAGGAACCTTCATTGTCTCTTTTTCCTCCAGATCCAGGCCTCTGGCTGGTCCCAACATTTGGGTTGATAGCACCCCCGTTGGTTGATGATGGTCCACCATTGGAGCTGGAGGATCCCATGGTGTCTGAGCTGCTATTGCTCTTTCCGTCATCAGAATTGGCTTCTTCCATCTCCCATACAGTGTGCTGTCTGACGGGGGTTTGGCCCCAACCAGAGTTACTCAGCACTCGGGGGTCTAGGTCCTGCCGGGGAAGCAGAGGGCCAAAATCCATACTGGAGGATCTGTCTCTGCGGCGGGATCGCCCTTCACTGCTACCACCGCTATCCTCGCTGGCTGGAGCTGTTCCTGGTTGTTTGCCCCAAGAGCTCATTGGCTGCTCTTGGCCTAGAACAGGAGTACCAGCATCCCCTGAGTCCCAGCCTTTGGATACCTCACCAGCCCCGGGGGATTTTCCCCAGTCTCCCCAGCCTCCACTGCCACTACTCCCACCACCGCTGCCTTGACGGCCCCAGGCAGAAAGGCCTCCAGGAGACGAGTCCCAGCCTGAGTCTTTGGGCGACTCGGTCACCTTGTTTTCTTCTCCACCCCACACGGAGCTGCCTGTCGTGTCCCCACTGAGCTGGGAAGATTCAGTGGGTGAATGACCACCCCAGCCAGTCAGACCGTGGATGGGGCTCATTGGCTCCTGAGCTGGTTGTTGTTTAGTGTAGTTTGGTCCATCAGTGTTAAGGTTAGCAGGCTCCATGTTGAGAGATAGATTTTTGTTGGTTGAAAGGTGCTGCTGATCATTGTCATTAGCACTTATCATGCTGCCCCAACCCCCCCCACCATTGTCTGCATTCCCATTCATGCCCATTGGTAGGGAGGAAGAGCTGGGGCCATTAACACCTCCGGCCCCACCTTCATGTCCCAGAACAGGCCAAGCTGATGGGTTGGCATTGGGGTTGAGGTTCAAGTTATAATTAGAGGATCCCCAGTTACTGGGGGCTGCTACTCTTCCACCATTCATTGCCTCTTGTTTGACATCTGAGCCCCAGCCTCTACTAGCCGCTAATGTGCTGGCTGACACAGGTCCCGTCATGTTACTGTTTGGTTTTAGAGAGTTATAGTAGGCCTGCTGGCCAGTAGCACCTGCGGCCATACTCAGAAGACCACTCCTACTCGAAGTGACAGCGCTGGTGTCCAGTTTAGAGCTAGCTGAGCCCAAGGAACATTCTGGAATCGCTGGCTGTCCAGAGTCTATATCACGATTAATGGAGGGCCAAGCTTCTTTATCACTTCCGTCAATTATCACTTTGTCCCAGCTCTTGCCACTGGAAGGTCCATCAACAGGTACAGAGGCTCCCCAATGAGACCTAGCATACTGGGTACCACAGCTGCTCAGTAGGGATATGTCTAAAGGAAAAACAGAAGGGAAAGGAAGATTGAGACTAATCATAAGAGCCGTCTATAATTAACAAGGAAGAGAACATGTAAAAGTGGTGAATTCAAAAAAAGGAGATTTGAAGTGTCAAGCTGTGTTTGCCCTAACCCATAAATCCCTCAATCACTATATAGAGCGGGGACTATATAGTGGACTTTATAGTGAACTTAGTTAACTGACCGTTCGGAAATATGACCACTAGTTTTCGCTCCGTGTCGGTCATGTGACTCTGCCTCCCCGTATGCTGCATGCGCCATCTTTGTTATTTGTCTCAGACAGCAGGCCGCTACAACAAATCCCATGATGCTTCGTGAGGAGAGCTCTCACAAAGCATTCTGGGATATATCTGCTCATCTAGTGACCATGGATGATCACTTCTTTTCAAGCTGCATTGTGGGAAATACGGGAAATATGATCCTAGTGCAATACGTTTTCATCCAATAGATGTTCGGACACTCATTATAAATGGCGTGAATGTAGCGATTAGGGCGGACATTCGGACACAGCCTGAGTCTTATGAAGATTAATCTAGTTCCAGCTATGATTGCAAGCCTAAGGGTTAGGGTTAACCCTAACCCTAACTCTATCATGTGCTTGTGAAACATCATCAGCCTCAGCCCTAGTACTGTTCCAATTCACAAGAACAAGAAGACAGAGAATGGACAAAGTCCCCAGATGTTGTTCTGGCCCTTCCCTCTTTACCCAGCATGCATCAGAGCCGATTTAATGCGCAATTAAAAAATAAACTTTCTGAAATTGAGAGGACCGCAGCAACCCACGGAGCTCCGAGGGTAACGGCAGCCAGGGCTGACATTAGCCCGTCTGCAGCAGCCCTCTCCCTCGGGGTAGCCGTGTGTGAGGTACCGTTGCCTATGATGCCGATTTTTGGTTTTATTTGGCAAAATGTTCATTTGATTTTTGTTTATCTGATTGTGTTCATCATTATTCTTCCACTAAATGAAAAAAGTAATAATTGATTATTATCTAGAGACTATTAATAACAAGAGGTGAAATGCTGCTCCAGACGAGCTGAGCGTGTGGTGATGTCATCAGTACGTTTCTGTTCCAATTGACGACACGAGTCCGTACTCACGTTCTTGTGAATTGAGACACTGCGCTAAAGCCCTTTGAGATTCCCATAGCTGAAATTTGATAACTAGGATAAAAATTAATGTTTACTAATAAAAAGATAAAAATTAGGGAGAACTGTAGTATGTGAGGGAGTGTTGGCCCAGGAGGTTAGAGCAGTGCGCTTGTGCTCTGAGAAGGCTGCAAGTACGAGTTCAATCCCCATAGCCTCCACTCTGGATTCCTGAGCAAGACCCTTAAGCCTAAACAATAGCAGCCCACTGCCCCTCAAGGAGATGGGTTTTGTCCATGTGACCTGTATCTGATCTTTTTATGACAGTCTGAACAACTCAGATTCGATTTTTTCCAATGCGACCCAGGCCACTTAGCTCTGTGGTCCTAAAAATCCAGGCCAGATTTATCCTGTACACCATTAATACCCCACAAATGTCACTATTTTGCATCTTGCTACGCAGAAGCAGCAAGAAAAACAACAACCATGGTGGACCATGATGAGGAGAGCAGTATTTATTTAATTTTTTTTACTCTAATTTCTTCCCGTTTCCTTGCTGCCCTCTCACACCCAGCAGGGGGGGGCCTATCCGTCTAAGTCTGTGGTTTACTGGCTGTTCCTGTGGAGAGAAGACCAAGAGGAACGCTGCTTGTTTGCTGGAATGAAACCTAGACGGCTTCCCATCCATCACTCCTTACGCTCTGCTAGGGCCGCTCCTCCTCCAGCTACATGGAATAAAAACCTAAAACAGCGCATTTTCCCAACCTTTTCACCAACTGCATAAGCACTACCCTGCTTAAGACTGGCTTTCTCTTTTACTACATGTTTTGGGTATAAAACATTTTCTTTGTTTGCTTGTAATCGCCAACAAGCACAAAGGCATCCTATAAGATGCGGATTGGAGTTAACTAATAATAGACTATGTCAGTGGTGTAAAAGGGTAATCAATCACTAGGAGGCAGCTAATCAATGATCTTATTAATGCTAGTGGAGGAAAGTAGAGGGACTATTGATCCAGTATGCAAACACAGGGACCACTAGGCCAGATGCAGGGACCCAAGTGGGACAAAATATGTAAATATCACCACCAAAAAGGTCAAAGAGGAGAAGGGAGAAAAAAAATGGGGGAAAAAATAAAAATCAAATCCTAAACAGCAAAACATTAGGGCTAAGAGGTTAAACCTGATGTTAATGCGATGAAAGTAGATTCCAAAGCAATCATTCAAGATTCAAGATTCAAGATTCAAGAGACTTTATTGTCATTCACATCACGTGTTAGATGAGGTAAACGAAATTGAGCGTCACGGCCTCAGTTACATCCGAATATATAAAAAAATAATTTATAAAAACTAGCTACAATATAAAAACAAGAAGTAGAGAATAAAATGTATATTAAAGATAAATTTAGCAGTGCAACATTTTAAAGTGTCCAAGTGTAAACTGCAAATACAGTGTCATTGGGGGGGTTAGGGGTTGAACAGACCATGTTATTGTCAATCATTTAATTCTGACTGCAAATACAAGAAAATCAAAACTAAAATAAACCATAAAGGGATGAAAGCATAAAGATGGGTTTAAAGTATAAAGAACAACCGATATTACCAAGATAAGGAGAAAGCAATAAACATCATTCTCTGATACAGTCGGCTGATCTTTGCAGGAATTATAAATCGAGCCACATTACATTTCCACTTCTCCATAAGCTTCCATCAAGACTGCAGGACCAATTCAGTAGTTTCCATTCAACTAAAAATGACTATTAGAGGCAGAGAGGTCAAAGCAATCCAATCAGATCAGAAAAATGTGCAAACACGTGAGGATATCCTGGAAGATTTGTTGCTTCAGGAAAGGATATTCACGCCATAAAAAAGGTAGCTCAGGACAAAAATCCATCCTCAGCATACTTATCTCCTATCCCTCGGCAGCAATAGGGCTGGGTCCACACATGCAATTCTGCTTACATATATCTTCTAAAACAGGAAACGATCCAAGGTAATAACGCTGTTCTGTTTAAACAAAGAAATAATAATGAAGGTAGAAACTGTAACACCTTGAAGGAAGATTGGAGCCTTCATTTAAAAGGCTCTAATTAAGGTGTTTTATATCAGTTTCAAACAGTGATTAGTTGTAAAATCTCTATAGTTCTGCTGCTATAGGCTTAGACTGCTGGAGGACATAGGGACCCCTTTTTCATCATTCTGGTTCATTCTATCTCTATTCTCCCACTCTGCAGAATCTGTTAGTTCAATCTCTAACGTTCTGCTCTCTCTGCTTTTTCTCATAGTAGCTTCATCTGTTCCTGTTTGGCTGTGACTCCATCCTGGAGAGAAATATCAGCTGTGCTGCTGCCATCAACACCTTTGTTTCTAGATGTTGGAGCTTGGCCTGTTTTTCAGGCACGCTGGCTGGTGACTAGGGGTGTGCAAAATAATCGTCATGATGATGCATCGTGATTCTAATTTTCGTGATCTACTGCATCGATTCTTGACGGCAAGTATCGATTATTAATTTAAAAAAATGAATAAATAAAATTGCATGAATGGTTGGCGAACATCAGCCAAAAACAAGTGTAATACAACTTCCAGTCCAGTAGATGTCGCTGCGGATGTGTTGACGCACGCTGCCTTGTGTCACAAGCATTTCCGGCCTCGGTGTACTGCGCAGAGTCATTCAAAAATAAAACATGGAGGAGAAAATATTGCAATGCATCGCAATAATTCAAGTATCGTGATGCATCGTGATTCGAATCGAATCGTGACTTCTTTGGCAATACCCACCCCTACTGGTGACACCATTGCATCGACTTATTGATGAAGAGTGAATATGTTGATGCAATCAGCTGATTTCCTTAGATAAAAAAAATTTGATTCAATTTGACTGGATGATCTGGTGAACTGGAAAGTGCCTTGATGTGACATGATGTGAATTGGCGCTATAGAAATAAACTGAATTGAATTGAAGATTAAAACAATTTTTCCGTCTGTCAATCTGCTCTATGCATAACTCCTTAAGGGGAAAAGTTTTGGTTTCACCTGGTTACATAAAAAAAAAAGAATTCTTCCAGGAACCCTTGGCTATCCGATTATTAATCGATTAGTGGGAAAAAAAATAATCGAACTTGCAAAATAATTATTAGTTGCAGCACTAATTCTCATTAAATGACTGGAACAATTTTAGAGAAACTCAAAACATCCGAGTTACCCAATAAGAACCCAAACAGCTGCTGGTGTAGTTTTTTTATTAAGCCACAATGATTTTTGCTCCATCTATAGTAGTTTTTCTTGGCTCCGAAGAAGCAAAGAGTCATTTTTATCAGAGTTGGATGGTATCCAAAACACTCAGCCGCAGCCACAAAAGGAAATCTGTATTTGGTTCAGTCAACCCCACACCCACCCTGCGTCTCCTCTTCCCTCATTTGCACATTCAAGTTTTCTTAAGGATACAGAAATAGGTTACGTGACAGGCTGCCATTTTTTTATCCGTCCATCTGAGATAACAAACCTTCGAAGAGAGACTTTACAAAAGGCAAGAGAAAGAATCATGAGGAGACTGTTTGCAGTGGCAGCAAAAAGAAGAAAAAAGGGGAGTGGATCTGGAGAAGAGAGGGAGAATGGAAAAATACCCGGAGTAAGGTGCACCAGCGTCTTGCTTGGAGAGATTGCACAGATCCATGAAGAAAGCGGGCACGAGCAGACGGCGTGCTAGCATGTCGGCCAACGCAGCAATTCTCTGCAAACACGGCCTGCAAAGCTCTTCGTTTTCATCATCTTATGTAAACCCAGCTAAAACTGTTTTCATGCGTCTTTTATTCAAGCTCAAATTAGGTCTTGCTAATTCTTTGCAAAACAGAGATTTAAAAGAGCCTGAATGAACTAAAGGTTTAAAAAAAAA